AACACAACAGGGCCGTGGAGGGACATTGGCAATGCAAGAAAACTGTGTCCCCCCTTTGCCCTGAAGTGTGAACAGAGACTGGGGATTTGGGGGGTTGCCAGGGTAACTGGGTTTGGGGTGACTGGAAAAGAGCGTTTTTGGCAGGCTGTTCTGGGAAGCAGAGGGAAGAAGAAAGACTGGGATCCATTTTGGGCAGGCTGGCTGAAGGCTGGCTGGGAGAGATGCCTTGGACTCATGCACTGCTATGGGGGACAAGCCCCTCTTGAAATGACCATGCTGTAAGATCTGGCCTCCCTCCATGCAGACTGAAGGTGTAAATAGATGAATCAATGATATTTCTTAAAGCAACGGTGGTCTCCACTGTGTCTCAGGTCTCCAAAGAACCCAGACCCCGGGTGAATGCCAGGAACCCACTGGAATCTGGCACAGAATGGGGCTGGCCCCCAACTTTTGTGACAGTATATTCCAGCCCAGCTGTTCTTGAGTTCTCAAGTCCCATCCGCTCCAGCCAGCATGGCCACTGGTCAAGGATGATGGCAGCTGGAGCCCACAAGCATCTGGAAGACCACATCTGGGCCTCTCAGAGTATCCGAGTTCCTGAATCTCGTCCCTCCTTCGCGGCGGACAGGATCAGCCCCCTTAGAGCTCCAGCTCTTCGGAGGCTTGCAGGCCTCCACCCAAGTCTGCCTTGTTGATCCCGCTTGGAAAATTTGACACTTACACCCCTGGAAACCAGCAGCTCAGCCTCTGCCAGGGAATCCGCTTTTGTTCTCTTCGCTTAAGCGCTTTTGGAGGGCGCACTGTAATCAGCGAGCTATTTATTTCAAATTCCCTCTTTTATGTTTATCTGATTTTCACTTTAAAGGAGAAGTCTTGTTTTAATTAGGCCTTCCTGAGCTATTTTGACTATACCCTGGCCCAGAAGCTCACAAGAATCTCGCTGTTTAGCCATATGCTACTGTGCTATAGTAAACAAGAGGGTTTTGGAAGGAGGAGCCCTGAGCGACAAGCCTGGAACAGACCCCCGTGTTAAGCTGGAGAAGGGAGGCTTAGTGTCACATCAGTTTCCAGTTTATTCCTAGTTAGGGCTTCCAAGCAGACTTACCACCTGATTTTAAAGTATGTGGTTGACGGGTGCGAGACTGCGAAGAAGGAGTGAGAACGCTACTGAGCCTAGATTGGTTTCGGTCCCTTTTAAGCTGCCATCCACACCGTTGTGTGGAACCAGAAGGAGTGCAGCTGCTTCACTTCCAGAGAGCTGGATAGTTATATGATATGCACCATGAGGACTGGAGACTTGATTGCTTTCATGATATGCAAGGAGCAAAGGCTTTGAACAGTCAAGAACATTGTTTAGATTGGCAGCTCCACAGAGTCATAGAGTTGGAAGCATAGCTGTCAACTTTTCCCTTTTCTTGCGAGGAATCCTATTCGGAATAAGGGAATTTCCCTTTAAAAAAGGGAAACGTTGACAGCTATGGTTGGAAGGGATTGCGAGGGTCATCTAGTCGAACCCCCTGCAATGAAGGAATATTTTTTGCCCAACGTGGGGTTCGAACCCACCACCCTGAGATCTCATCCTCTACTGATGGAGCTACCCCTAGGAGCCACTACACTAATCTGCGTAATGAATTTGACTTTCTTGGCTCCCTTTGCATCATGGGTATGCCTATAGAAGTGTGAGAATCTAAGAAGAACCCTGCTGGATGTGGCCAGTGTGGTGTAGTGGTTAAGAGCGGTAGTCTCGTAATCTGGGGAACCGGGTTCACGTCTCCGCTCCTCCACATGCAGCTGCTGGGTGACCTTGGGCCAGTCACACTTCTTTGACGTCTCTCAGCCCCACTCACCTCACAGAGTGTTTGTTGGGGGGGGGGGAGGAAGGGAAAGGAGAATGTTAGCCGCTTTGAGACTCCTGAAGGGGAGTGAAAGGCGGGATATCAAATCCAAACTCTTCTTCTTCTTCTTGAGCTAGATGGCCTTTGGAGTCCCTCCCAATGCTACAATTCGGCAGCTAGACTGGTGAATGGGAGTGGCCGCCGAGGCTGCATAACACCAGTCCTGAAAGACCTACATTGGCTCCCAGTACGTTTCTGAGCATAATTCGAAGTGTTGCTGCTGACCTTTAAAGCTCTAAACGGCTGCAGTCCAGTATAAATGAAGGAGCATCTCCACCCCCATCGTTCTACCTGGACACTGAGGTCCAGCACTGAGGGCCTTCTGGTGGTTCCCTCACTGTGAGAAGCCAAGTTACAGGGAACCAGGCAGAGGGCCTTCTTGGTAGTGGCACCTGCCCTGTGGAACGCCCTCCCAACAGATATCAAGGCAATAAACAACTATTTTACTTTTAAAAGACAACTGAAGGCGGCCCTGTTTAGGGAAGTTTTTAATATCTGATGCTGTATTGTTTTTAATATTCTGTTGGAAGCTGCCCAGAATGGCTGGGGAAACCCAGCCAGATGGGCGGGGTATATATAATAAATTATTATTATTATTATTATTATTATTATTATTATTATTATTATTATTATTTTCTATGGTAGGAAACAAACCCTGGTGAGTCTCTGCCAAGCAGAGTCGGTAATTCTGGACTAGATAGTCTAGCTCATTGTAAGGCAGCTTCACAATACAGTGGTACCTCGGGTTAAGTACTTAATTTGTTCCGGAGGTCCGTTCTTAACCTGAAACTGTTCTTAACCTGAAGCACCACTTTGGCTAATGGGGCCTCCTGCTGCTGCCGCGCCGCCGGAGCATGATTCCTGTTCTCATCCTGAAGCAAAGTTCTTAACCCGAGGTACGATTTCTGGGTTAGCGGAGTCTGTAACCTGAAGCATCTCTAACCCGAGGTACCACTGTATGCCCACGTCCCATTTCCCCCACTTCCAAACAGAGATATTTAGGCGAAATTCCTGATGCCAGCAGGAGGTCGATCTTCACGGCAATTCCGACTCTGTTACTTGAGAACGCCATGGAGGCCTTTTCAAAACCATATGTTTTCCAAGCGCCTCACCTGATTCCAATTTGATAATACGTCTTCAACGCAGTTTCCCATTTCATGGCTTTTGCAGGGTAGCATTGCAGCCCCTTCAGCCAGCAGTTGTCACGCTTGGTCTGTAACCCGACAAAGGCGTCTTGGGCCTTTCCTTTGGCACTTAAAACCAGACACATCCATGCAGGCCGGTTAGTGGAGCTGCAGGATTCGCACGAGGACCCGGCGGCTGGCGGAGGCCACCCAAGCCTGAAGACCTGCTCTCCGTGAGCGGCTGCCGTGCTTCCTATTTTGACAGCTGCACGGAAAATTGGAAGGCGATGTCTACATGTGTCAGTGATCCACTAAATAGGAGAGCTGGGGGCCATCTTTCTCCCGGCTGCCTCTGGGAGCCCCACAGCTGCTCACCAAAACGCCTAAGTCAAGGTATTTAATGCATCTACTCTCAGCTAGCAACGGCGAGGCAATCCTGTTCCATTTGCATTTGATGGACCTGGTCTGCACACTTTGCGAAAACAACACAAAAACGGAAACACAGCCACCGGTGGAAAATTGCACTTCTCCAAATGTCGCTGTGCTGTTCTCCAGCCAAGGAATAATGCATATGCAAGAGCGACGTGTGGACGAAAATGCATCATATGATGGGAAATATAAATACATAGGGAAACGTGCATTTGAAGTTTGTAAGGAAACTTGCAGACAACGGTGGGTTTATTAGGAGGATTTTGCACGAAAATGCTGGTGGGATTTCCTGAGGGTTGCTGCGGAAGTATGGAGAAAGGAAATTAAGACTGGAAGAATGAGTGAAAGCAAAATTCTCCCAATAGAGAATTGCCTTTTTTTTAAAAAAAAAAGAAGAATATTATTATTTTATTAATTTTCCAAAAACAACAAAAAATAAAATTAACAATACATATTCAACCATAGAAGGAAAAAAAATGACTTCCCCCTATTCCCTTCCCTGGTTCCATTGTTTATCATCATACCGCATGTCCATTTTAAATTAGAAAATCATTCAAATTACTTATTGTCCAGTCATAATATCTTTTCAAGTATTTTAAAATTCTGCTAATGTATTAACCTGTGTACATTGCTTCTGTACTTATGCAATAAAGTCCTTCCATTCTTCTTTAAATCCATTGTCATCTCTTCCTCTTAATTTCAAAGTCAGTTTTGCCATTTCAGCATATTCCATTAATTTCACTTGCCAGTCTTCTTTAGATGGGACACCTTCTTCTTTCCAATATTGTGCTAATAGTATTTGTGTGGCTCTCGTTGCATACTTAAATAAATCCTTTTGCATTCTTGGTATATTCACTCCTGTAACACCTAGTAGGAAAGCTTCTGATTTTTTTAACAAACGTTATTTTAAACATCTTCTTCAATTCATTATAAATCATTTTTCCAGTGTTTCTTAACAATTTTGCAATCCCACCACATATGAAAAAATGTACAGGGGGTACAAAAAAACCCCAGGCAATTCTGTCTTCCACTGCCTCCCGCAGTTTGGTCAAACTCATGCTGGTAGCTTCAAGAACACTGTCCAACCATCTCGTCCTCCGTCGTCCCCTTCTCCTTGTGCCCTCCATCTTTCCCAACATCAGGGTCTTTTCCAGGGAGTCTTCTCTTCTCATGAGGTGGCCAAAGTATTGGAGCCTCAGCTTCAGGATCTGTCCTTCCAGTGAGCACTCAGGGCTGATTTCCTTCAGAATGGATAGTAGCAGCGTAGAGACCAACTAAGTTTGTTATTGGTATGCATGCACACTTCTTCAGATACCATGAATGTAGGAAGCTGGTTAAACCATGGTGCCGATAACGCCAAGGTTGTGGGTTCGATCCCCGTATGGGACAATTGCATATTCCTGCATCGCAGGGGGGTGGACTAGATGATCCATGGGGTCCCTTGCAACGCTACGATTCTACGATTCTATTGGTCCATCTAGGTCAGAATCGTCAACACTGACTGGTAGCAGCTCTCCAGGGTTTTCAGACAGCGGCTCCACTCAGACCAACCTGGAGACGTCAGAAATCGAACCTTGACCCTTCTGTATGTGTAGCAGATGCTTTGCGACTCAGCCACAGCTCTTTCTCCTGCTCACACTCTTCCATAACACATCAAAATGAACAGTTAACACACCATGTGCTGGTCCGGGGGGGGGGTTACCGTGCAGCGTGGTCTGAGTCCGGTCCTAGGTCGAGGGTATGGAGGCTGTCCGTCTAGGGCAAAGTGGGGTCCAAGGCAAGGAGCCGGGCGTGGTCAGGAACTCTGGAAGAGCAGGACAGGGTGCTGGCAGGAACAGGTTACCAACAATGTTGCTCCCACAACTTGGGACTGGGGCTGGCTGGCCTTTATCTCCTCTGAGGCATAGGGCGGCCGCGGTCCACAGGTGACTCACCTCTCCTGTCCTGGAGGCGTGCACTCCTCCTGCGGGAACTTAGTTCCCTCCGCCTCTCTGCCCTGAGCCTCTGCAGCTCCGGAGAGGCTGGAGGGTTACTGGACCCAGAGGCAACCTCAGCTCCCCCTGACGGGGCTGAGAGTGGAGCACCTGCAGGCAATGGGTCCTTCATCACCTCTGGAGCCAGAGCGGATTCTGCTGGTGTCTGCTCCTGAGGATCCGGCACAGGTGCGGGCCCTTCAGATTCAAGCCCCTGCCCTGGCTCAGCCGGCCCTGGAGGCGGGGACTCCTGTGCAGGCTGGGATCCCTCAGGTTCAGCCTCTGAATCCGATTCCCAGGCCATCACACACCGTCTCTAAAAGGAGCTGATGCACAGTGATGCCGGCGACTTCAGGTTGATGCATTAGACTTGGACGGTTCTGTAGTCTTCTCCCCTCTCCCCCTGGTTGCCAGGTGCTGCTCTGCTTCTGATTATCTCTCGGTTTTTTGGTCTGTGGCCACGGGAGAGCATTGGGGTCTCTCTGCGCTGATCTCCAGGTGTTAGCCATCCTGGGCTCCCTTCAAATAGCTGCCAAGTTGGGCTCATCTCATTTGGGGAAAGCTGGAGGGGGGGATTTAATTTGCTTGTTGCATGGCGTAGCTGGATGACCTCTGAAGGCCACCTAGCCGAAATAAATATTGGTGGGAAACAAAGGTGGGGGGAGGCAGTGTCGCAAAGACAGGAAGAAGCATTTCAGCAAATCAATGCAGGCTTTGACTTACATCGCCAGGGGCCGGTTTGTGGGAATGTCGAGGAAGGTAGGAGAGGATATATTGATTAAATATTATCCTTCCTCACTCACGCTAGTGAGCAAGCAGCAGAGCACATTCCTGGAAGCAAGTTGATGATTCGTTAGAATCCTTTAAATTAAGCAATCCAGTTTGGCTTGTCCCGCCTGGATTGTTCCTGGTAAGTTTCCCCTTTAAAGGTAAAGGAACCCCTGACCATTAGGTCCAGTTGTGGATGACTCTGGGGTTGTGGCGCTCATCTCGCTTTATTGACCGAGGGAGCCGGTGTACAGCTTCCGGGTCATGTGGACAGCAGGACTAAGCTGCTTCTGGTGAACCAGAGCAGTGCATGGAAACGCCGTTTACCTTCCTGCCGGAGCGGTACCTATTTATCTACTTGCACTTTGACGTGCTTTCGAACTGCTAGGTGGGCAGGAGCAGGGACCGAGCAACGGGAGCTCACCCCGTTGCGGGGATTCGAGCCGCTGACCTTCTGATCAGCAAGTCCTAGGCTCTGTGGTTCAACCCACAGCGCCACCCGCATCCCAGTTTACCCTTTATTTCCCTCTTAAAATAATAATACAGTGGTACCTCTAGTTGCAAACGGGATCCGTTCCAGAGCCCCGTTCACAACCTGAACGGAACGCAACCCGCGTCTACACATGCGTGGGTCGTGATTCACCACTTCTGCGCATTGCGTGTAGCGTCATTTTGCACGTCTGCGCATGCACGAGCGGTGAAACCCGGAAGTAACCCTTTCCGGTACTTCCAGGTCACCGCAGGATGCAACCTGAAAAGACGTAACCAGCAGCGTTCGCAACATGAGGTATGACTGTAATAACATGACAGTCTTCTTTAAAAGCAAAAATAAAGTTTTGCTCGCATTCAGTTCTCAGCAGTAATCTGGAGGCAGGCTTTATCTTGTGGTTACAGTTGCATTTGTAGAGAAAAGGAAGTCTGGGCTCTGCCTCAGACTTTCTACCTGTGGCTTCCATCCTTTGTAAGGATGAGAACCATGGGCTGGTTAAGAGCCGGAAGAGGAGGTCCGAGAGAGAAGTCGGAAAAGGGACGATGGCTGTGTGGCTAGCCCTTTTGCAAGGTCAGCTAGGGTCACCCTCATCTACCTGGTCACACACAAGGGGAGGAGGCTCCAGAACAGGTATGACAGGAAGTCCTCCCTGTCTAGAGGGACACATTCCCCTCTGTATCCACTCCAGGCAACAGGAAAATGTGGTACTTGACTTCTGCATCCCACACGATTCACATATGCTGGGACATCATTTGATGGTCACCTGATAACCCCACTCAATGCACAATGGCTGTAGCTCAGTGGTAGAGCAGATGATGATGATAATGATTTTATACCCTGCTCATCTGGCTGGGTTGCCCCACTACATGTGAATGATCCTGGGTTCAAGTCCTGGCATCTCTAGCTGAAGTTGGGAGAAACCCCATTTCTGAAACCCTAGAGAGCCTGTAGATAATGCCCTACCCTCCAACATTTCTCTGATGAAAATAGGAAAGTCCTATTATCATTATTATTATTACCCGCACATCTGTTTTTTTAAAAAATATTTATTAAAATTTAAACATTACAAAAAACAAAAGAAAAACAAAAGAGAAGTATACAAAGCATCAACAATACAAAAAGAAGAAAGAAAACAAAACAAAAGCATTTAAAAAAGAAGAAAAAAACCCAAAGGAACAAACAAACATACAAAAGAACCCCATATTTTCATATCCTTATCTTTCATTAGCTTATTTCCTCGACTTCCTCACACCTCCTTTTTTGTATTCTAGTTCAATTAAATATTCTAGCAGGTCCTTTCCCTCTTTCACAAATTTAGTTCCATAATTTAATTTAACAAAATTTTAGACTTAAATTTACATCTTAACCCAATATCAATCTATTCATACTTAATTCTTTATAATATTTCTACTAAAATCATATAACTTCTTTCCAGCATCTTTCTAACATTCATTAATTTTAGAGTATTTCTGTAAATAAGCTTTGAATTTTTTCCAATCTTCTTCCACCAACTCTTCTCCCGCACATCTGACTGGGTTGCACCAGCCACTCTGGGTGGCTTCCAACACATATAAAAACATAATTAAACATTAAAAAAACTCTGCTATACAGGACTGCCTTCAGGTGTCTTCTAAAGGTTGACTCAGTGGTTGCTTAACTCCATACCCTCCAACGGTGAAAATACGGACACAGTGGCGGAGCTTCAAGCTCTGGCGAGGGGCGGAAAGCAGGTGGTGGCATGGCAGGGGCACATCCCGGGGGTGTAGCACACTGCCCGCAGGGGCATGGCACATGTCCTGGGGGCATGGCGCCCAGCACGTGGCGGAGCCAGCTGCGATGACACCCAGTGGGATCGTGGTGCTGGGGGCAGTGCACTCCCCCGGCACTCCTGTTCCTCCGCCAGTGTACGGACATCCTACCCATACCCTCCAACATTTTCCCCGATGAAAATAGGGAGATCCTAAGGAAAAGCGGGACATTCCAGGGTCATACCAGAAGGTGGGTCAGCTTCTGTAAATCTGGGACTGTCCCTGGAAACTAAGGACACTTGGAAAGTCTGTTAAATGCGGAGAGAGATGAATGAGAAGTTGGATGGTCAAATAACTGTTCTATAATAATAATAATAAATTTTTATTTATACCCGGCCCTTCCCAGTTCAAAAACCGGGCTCAGGGCGGCTAGCAACAAATTTAAAACACTTTAAAACACTTAATTATAAAAGCAGCATAAAATACAGTATAAAAACATGAATAACAATAAAATTCAAAATTCAAAAATCAATTAGATAATCCCCAGGGCTAGCTGGCTAAACTGGTCCTACTTGGGCCAGCGAGGAAGCCAGGGGAAAATTAGTTGTGGGGTCTCAGAGCGGGTGATCTTCATAAAAGGGCAGTGGGAGGGAAGAGAAGGGAAATAAAAGATCAGGCTGAGTTCAAATTAAAGTCCAGGCAGAATAGCTCTGTCTTACAGGCCACACGGAAGGAGGTTAAATCCTGAAGGGCCCTAGTCTCCTGGGACATTCTAAAGATGTCTCATCCAAATGTTGACTGGCACTTCTCTCTTTTGGGCTCAGGCCTTTGGTCTTCCAGATGTTGTGGGGATCCAGTTGCCATCACCCCCAGCCAGCCTGGCCAATGGTCAAGGGTGATGGGAGTTGTGGTCCAGCAACATCTGGAGAGCCACAGATGCCCCAGTCCTGGCCAGGCTGCGGCAGAAACTGCGGTTGTTGACAGCTGGAAAGTGACTTCAAGAAACGAGCGTCGAACCCTGAAAATCTCATAATCTTCCAGATCAATTCTGCATTTGAAATCGTAACCTGAGTGCAGCAACCATGGGCTCTGCAACTCTCCCGTTTGCTTTCCCAAGAGCGAACGGTTGGAACGAGAAGTGAGTTTTGAAAACCTTACATTTCCATATGAAAAGCGTAGCATGTCTACAAACACTCACGAGCCTCCGTTAGCCAAAACTGGCAAGGCAACAGCTGTGAATTTCCATTCTTGTGGGGAACAGGGCTACTGCCACCACCCAAGGCATCTGGGGTTGTAATGATGGAAGAATGCTGACTATTTTTCATTCTGATCCTCCACCATCCACCCCAAATCCTCCCGTGATCAAACCCACATTTGTTGTTTTGGATGCAACTGCCTTCCTGCCCCTGAATCTTTTAATGTGGCCAAGCCAGTAGTCGGCTGTGTTGTATAGACAACTTCCTGCTTCCTGGGGGGGGGGGGGCTTTAGAAGCCAGAAGGTAGCCTGCCAGGTACATCTTCCTAGTGTGTTTCATCATCATCATCATCATCATCATAAATTTATACCCCGCCCATCTGGCTGGGTTTCCCCAGCCACTCTGGACAGCTTCCAAAAAATATTAAAATACTGTAATACATCAAA